AGCCGAAGACCCTGCAAAAATGACTGCAGATATTGCTGCAAAAGAGATGTTGAACTAACCAGGTGCCATCAAGCTGAAGTCAAAGTGACTGAAGGAGTTGATGATGGTGTAGTGGAACCAGGTATAGATATTAAAGCAGAGCAGGAGAAAGATCAAGATTTGAAGCCAATAATTAATTTTCTAAAAACAAGTGTTTTGCGCTCTGCTTGGGAGAAGGTGTCTAGCTTAAGCCCTGTGACAAAGAACTATTGGGCACAATGGGACCAGTTGAAGCTTGAAGATGGTATTCTTCTCCGGAGATGGGAAACTGCAGTTGGGAAAGTGACAACCTGGCAAACGGTTATACCGAGAAAGTTACGGGAAGTTGTTCTGCGTTAATCCCATGATAGTTTAACAGGAGGACATCTCGGAGTTAAAAATACATTGAGTTATCTACGGTAGAGATTTTACTGGATAGGTATGAGGCAAGATGTGGAATAATGGTGGAAGATCTGCAGTACATGTTGTGCTAAAAGGGGATCCAAGCATAAGGGACGTGCTCCAATGAAATTATATCATGTGGGTGCACCAATGGAAAGAGTAGCCGTTGACATTGCTGATCCTTTGCCCTAAACTCGTGCTGGAAACAGGTACATTTGTGTGGTGATGGATTATTTCACCAAGTGGCCTGAGGCATATGCAATACCAAATCAGGAAGCTACAACTGTAGCTTCGGCTATTAGTGATTTCTTCTTCAGGTTTGGTATGTCATACAAACTGCATTCGGATCAAGGCCGTAACTTTGAATAAGCTGTATTCCATGAATGCTGCAAGTTGTTTGGCATACGAAGACCAGGACAACGCCACTTCACCCACAGTCTGATCGGATGGTAGAAAAGTACACTTGGACAGGAATTGGAAAAGCTTTGTAATAGCCACTAAGATGGTCTATAGAACAGCAGAGCATGAAGCCACTGGATACACTCCAGCAAAGCTGATGTTTGGTCGGGAACTTCGGTCGCCAGTGGATCTGATAACAGGACCCCCACCTTACGAAGAGTTGCCTGAAAATGTGTCAGAGTTCGTGAAAGTGTTATCTGAAAGGATGGATGATATTCAACATCAAGTGCGTTCAAACTTGTAAACGCACTGCTACTTCCATGAAGCTATGTTATGATAAGAGATCTACTGAAATCAGCTTTGTACCAGGAAACAAGGTGTGGTTGTATAATCCCAGGAAGACCAAAGGGAAGTCTCCTAAATTGTCATCTCCATGGGAAGGCCCATATGACATTGTGGATCATCTGTCAGACGTGACTTTCCGAATAAAATGTGGTCGGCGAGGTAAACCAAAGGTGGTGCATGCCAACAGGCTTTGGCGTTATCACGGTCCAGGACATTTCAGTTAGGACGAAGTGAACAATGGAACAAATGACGCCGCTGAAGACGTGTCACCTGAAAAAGCCACTGTCAAAGAAGAAACTCTACCCGGTTTTGAGAAGAGAAACAGTGAAGCCCTTAATGAAGTTACTATCACTGATGTGACTGTAACCGATAATAGGACATTTCCTGATGGAGCAGATGAGCCCCATGTGAAGCAGAAGCCAACGAGACGGAGACCAGTACGGAAGAAGATACGTCCCGTAAAATTAAGAAACTTTGTTGAATTTTAATTTTGTGTTTATAAATTCTGTACATTCAATTAAGTTATTGTTAATTATCTATTGGTTTATGTAAGTGGCTATTGTTCGGGACGAACAATACTAAAGAAGGGGCAGTGTTACGACAGCGGAAGTCACGCTACGCTGGGAGCATGCGCGCTGGAGTTTCTAGAAGGATCGAGCAACCTCACGAATGTCCCAGCGTTTGCTAGACGCCCTCTTTTTTAGTAAATAAGCCCGGCAAATAAAGCGGAGATATAATTGCAGATAGAAAGATATAGAGACAAACAATTGAGTCAAGCGAGCGGTAATATAAAGTAATATATATAGCGGTAATATATTGCAAACGTATTGACTGTGGAAATTCTGTGTATTATAAAGTTTTTCCGAGAAAGAATAAACTAGTTTTAATTAAAAAAGGACTTGTATCGCTGAAGTTCCTCTGAAGGAATTTATACCGGAAATTAACAAATGAGCAGATACGCAACAGGGACGTCACAAAAAACAATAACTTTTCAACACATTGACAAACAATAAACTGTCCATCTTAAATAATGATAGGGTCAAGATAGCATTATTTTAGGGTTTTTGACACCTTATTACGGCCTATTTACATGAGATTTGGTACAAAGATACTTTATTATAGTTCCCATACATATACATACAAAATGTGGGATATGCTCATTTTTGGTAATATTTGGGGGGTCAAAATGCTATATAAATCCATAAATTTAGGGGGTTTGGTCAATTACGTAGCCTCGTTTGGATTATCTTACATGAAAATTGAAAAGAGAGATATAGACAGTTTGGGACTTTTTGTATTTTACTCAGTTTTTCAGTGAGGGAAGGACAATTTGAGGTTTTCGTGAATTACTCATGTGTACGTCAACCAACTTACATGTGAACTATTCATCTGTACGTCAACCAATTTACATGAGAACTATTTATGCATAA